TTCTAACTGAATTTTTAGTGTACGCGTGTGTATATTTGAGTGTGAATGTAACCTAAATCTCCTATATAAAGTTATACGATTTACCCCGCGACCCCCTGAACATCGGTCCCCGCCACGCCGTCCCAGCGCGTCCCGCGCCCTTGATGTTCGTTCGGCGGACCTCTCGCGGCCGGGTCTCCGTTCCCCCCGCGGGTTTTCCCGTTCCCACCCCCAGGGGGGTTGCTACTGGCCCCGGGGGTGGTTCCGTTTTTCGCCCGTCCCTCAGCCTGGCGCGCGTCTTTCCGGTCGCGCTTCGACGTGCGGTCGCGTCCCGGCTATCGGCTCCTTGTCCCTCCGGCCGTTTCGTTTTTTTGCGCTTCCGAGGGGCGCGGTGCCCCTCTGACCGTTCCGTCGGCCGATTCCTTGTAACGGTCACTTCGTGCTTCCCCGTTCGTCCCCCGGGCTCGGGGTCCCGTCTGCGGACGGGTCCTACTGTGCCGACGTCCGATAAGGTCGGATTTCGGATCCGGCGACCCGGGAGGGGCGCTGGGGCCCCGCGACCGTTTTCGGAAAAATTGCCACCGCTCTCGTCACGTTCGGCCCGCGGCCTGGGGTTTCGGTCAGCGCGGGCCCCCGGCCGGCCGGCGTCCCGTCCCCGCTGAATTTTCGACCCCGAACTCCCGGGGTGGGCGCGGTGCCCCTCGGACCGTTTCGTCGGTCGATTCCTTGTAACGGTCACTTCGTACCTCCCCGTTCGTCCCGCGGGCTCGTGGTTCCGTCGGCGGACGGGTCCTACGGTGCCGACGTCCGATAAGGTCGGGTATCGTGATCCGGCGATCCGGGGAGGCGCTGGTGCCCTTCGAACGTTTCTGGGAAATTCGTTTCTGCGCCCTCCTCGTCGGTCGATCGGGGCCGCGTTTTTGCCGTGCGGTCCCTTCATTCGTCGCGCGTTCGGCGGAGCTAACCTTCGGCCGGCTTTGGGGGGGGGGGGGGGGGGGCGCCGCGAGTCCCTCCGCGTAAGCGTCGCGGCTACTCTGATGGTCTACTCTGAAACGACGACCGGAGCTCGGTCGCCCTTTTGTTGTATACGGAACGAGCGTTTCTACGGCTACCGTCCGGATTGTTCGAGTGTTGCGGTGTTGCCGGATCTTCCTCAGCGGTCGGAGAGTTCTGTTCGTGCACATCGTGTGGAAACGGGAAATTCCGCAACTGCTCACATATGTTTTTTTTGTCATTTTATTTTTACGTTATTCTTATGAAATTTCCATCCTGCGAATTTCCATCGCCAACTGTTTGGTGCTCAGTCGGGAGCATCGATGTTTTCTTTCTGCAGACTCGCCGCACTCCCCACGCGCCGAAGGATTTTCTGTCAACCCTAGCCTTCCGTGCCAAGCAGGAATCTTTTTAACTCAAACCAACTTTAACGCCCTTATTTTAAAAAAGAAAATCAATAATATTGTCACACCCCGCCAAGAAAATCATTCTTGAACAATTTCTGGCAAATTCTTATGGAATATTCATGTTAATGTGTAGGGCCAATGCATTATTATCACACGGAAGAACTGCTCACAGTGCTTTTAAACTGCCATTAAATTTAAATTCAGCGGATATCCACTTATGCAACATAAGCAAACAGAGTAAAATAGCAGAACTACTTAAAACAACTTCATTCATCGTCTGGGGTGAAATTACAATAGCACATAGGGCTGGTGTTGAAACTCTTGATCGTACACTTCAAGACATTCGTAATGATAAGCGCAGAATGGGTGGAGTAACAACATTACTATCTGGAGATTTCAGACAAACATTGCCCGTCATACCTAGAGGAACGAGAGCTAATGAAATTGATGCCTGTCTAAAATCATCATATTCATAGAATGACATTAAAGTTTTTAAACTCCACCAAAATATGAGAGTGAATGATTCAAAATTCGGATGCGTTGCACCAGACGGGAATTTTCGGGCCCGATGTATCGCAGATACGACCAAACGGACGAAATTTTCGTTCTCTAGCTACGTTACTGGCCGTTTTCCATAGGAATACAGTGTTATTTTATCTAAAAACCTCAAATTTCAACCTGTGTCACAGTCGTTTGAGCACCGGGTAAAAATTGTTTTTAAATTTCTTTATTGCACGAGGCTTCTAATGGAAGAAATTAAGGTTGTGATTTTAATAAGAAATTAATTAATTCCGAAATAGATATTATTCAGTTTTACAGCACTGAGACGAACACGGGGTAAAGCTACAGAGAAGGATCTGAACTGACTAAAGTCATCGTACCTGCTATAAGAAGTGAAAGAATTGTAACAGAGGAAGCAAAAAACCAGAACCAAAAGTTTTTAATAGAGTGGAAAATAAAGAGACTCAAAATGAAAATGAGAATTTGCAGAGAAAGAAAAGAAATAGAGACAGAAAAAAAAGGAAATGAGACAAAAGATCCTTTTGAGTAGCAAGAGATTCCAATAAAAATAAGAAACAAACGGAAGGACAGAAAACCGATGGTAAAATCTGTACTACTATGGGAAACCAATTTTCCATTTTAGGATCAGAGACTAAAAGGAAACAAATTTCTAATAAAGAGAATTCAAAATCAAAAAGAAATGTAACTAGTCAACCCCCTCCAATATTCACAAGTGATACTCTCCGAAAAGAAATGAGTGAAATCCTGTTTGAGAAATTTTAATTTGAAGATCATTCGATTAAGATAATTGGCAAGGACGTGTTAAAAGTTAGGGTTAAAATGTATCACCACGAAAGTAAGGAAAATGAAAAATTCTTGGAATTTTTGGAAGAAGATGACAAGAAGTTTTATACCTATCAATATGGCGGAAATCCGAAAATAGCAAAAATATGCATTTCCCTCCGAGTTACAGATTTTACGCCGCCCCAGGGTCTGTTTTTTCCCACTGTGCGGCGTAGCGCGGTATTGCTTATCACGCACTGTATTCAATTGTTCATACGTGAAAATTCCCTGACCGGACACGAAAGTTCCTGACTTTTCCCGGTTTTCTCTGACGCTTGCCACCCTGCCTTAGCTACTAAACAAATAGCCACCGCACTTGAAGAGTTAGGGTTGGCACGTATGCTCCAGACATTGACATTTTCAGGGATTCACGCCGTGTGGAGTCTGTTTCCACAGATCCGCCCGTCAGCTCCCTGAAAAGTCGCCACCACCGGGATACAAACCTGGGACCAAACCAAATTCGGAAGTTTACCCTAAAGACTCTCTTGGAAAGTTATTCCCTGGAGGATAAGATCCATTTTCCCAGATCCGGTCACGAATGTTCAAGTAAACGGAACATGCCCCATTTTCTTTCGGAAAGACACAAGTGGCGAATAATGATTTATAATGCCTATAATCCATTATAATGCATTATAATAGTAATGCCACATTCTAATGTCGTATAATACCTCGCAACGATTCATGTCCTACTGATTATTGATTATTGTGAGATG